GTTACAAATGGAAAGCAATGGAGATCAGTGATTGAAGGAACAAGTACTTCTTTTTCAAAAAATGGTTGTTAAGTATGTGGCATTTATACAGCTGGATAAATGTGACTGAGATGCCCAAGTGATCAACGTCTGGTTTCTCCTTACAGTGCCAGTCTCTTATCAGTCAAACTAGTGATGAGAATTACAGCAATCATCAACTGGAAGATATCATCTTGATGTACCAACAAAGTCTGAGAACTCTGATGTCTAGAGAAATGAAGGACAGTGAAGAAGAATTAACAATTTGAACACAGTACTGAAAATCGTGAAGGACAAGAAGTCTGTTAAAATATAAATACTCCTCTACAAAACTCGAAAAAAACCCAAATTCAAGCTTGCCCTTTGGACAATCAGTTCTCTAATTTTGCTTGCCCTGGGCAAGTCTTAGTTTATTTATTTCCTTATTTAGTTGGAGGACAACTTGCCTGGGCCCTTGCCAATTGAGCAAGTGACAATGAAAAGTAACTTGCCTGGTTACTAGCAAAATCTACTTGTAGTGGACAACTGGACAGCACTTTTTTCAAGCCCTGCTCTAGTCATTAAGGGAGAAAACATAGACAAATTTGGCTTTGCCCCTCTATGGAAGCTTTGGCCACTCACTTAAACCAAGCATTGTATTGTTGTAAAAGCATATGAAACCATTCACAATAGCCTCCTTCACAAAGTTCTACTTGTTAAAGTTAAAAAGTATGATTACTTAACAGCATCTTGATTTGGGGAAAGCTTCGTTTGAATTTTCCTTCAATACATAGTTACACAGTATGTGCGNGTTACAAATGGAAAGCAATGGAGATCAGTGATTGAAGGAACAAGTACTTCTTTTTCAAAAAATGGTTGTTGAGTATGTGGCATTTATACAGCTGGATAAATGTGACTGAGATGCCCAAGTGATGAACCACTGGTTTCTCCTTACAGTGCCAGTCTCTTATCAGTTGAACTAGTGATGAGAATTACAGCAATCATCAACTGGAAGATATCATCTTGCTGTACCAACAAAGTCTGAGAACTCTGATGTCTAGAGAAATGAAGGACAGTGAAGGAGAATTAACAATTTGAACACAGTACTGAAAATGGTGAAGAACAGGAAGTCTGTTAAAATATACATACTCCTCTACAAAACTCGAAAAAAACCCAAATTTAAGCTTGCCCTTCATATAATCAGTTCTCTAATTTTGCTCGCCCTGAGAAAGTCTTGATTTAGTTATTTTCCTATTTACCGGTAGTTGAAAGACAACTTGCCTGGGCCCTTGCCCATTGAGCAAGTGACAATGAAAAGTAACCTGCCTGGTAACAAAATCTACTTGTCCTGGACAACTGGACAGCACTTTCTTCAAACCCTGCTCTGGTCATTAAGGGAGAAAACATAGACAAATTTGGCTTCACCCCTCTATGGAAGCTTCTGCCACTCACTTAAACCAAGCAATGTATTGTTGTAAGAGCATATGAAGCCATTCACAATAGCCTCCTTCACAAAGTGCTACTTGTTAAAGTTAAAAAGTATGATTACTTAACAGCATCTTGATTTGGGAAAAGCTTCGTTTGAATTTTCCTTCGATACATAGTTACACAGTATGTGCGCCTTCAAGACTTATTCTGTCTGTGACCTCTTCAGTTGGTTGCCAGTAAAGATTGGAATTTGGGATGACTTCATGTAACCATGCACGAAAAATAT